CCGTCAACTTCCACGCGAAGGACGGGTCGGGCTATGAATTCTTGGGAGAAGTTGTAATGCAGCTAGACAAAATCAATCCCCAGGTGACTGTTCTTCCTTCAACCATAGAATCGAGTTGAGACGTGATATGTATATTCGTCTCTGATTGATGTGTTGATTCTTAGGTTGCCTCTCGAATGGTGTCTGCGTTCTCGAGATGGAAGCGTTACGACGAACACCGACAAAATCTTGCTAAGGTAACGTTGGTTTTCATGATTGAGTATCAGCTGGCATTTGGTTGCGTTAAAATATGCGATTGATGAAGATGATGATGATATCTACAGGCACAACTGGAGAAGATATTGTCTGCCAATGGACTGTCTGAAAATGTGTTCGAAATTGCATCAAAAAGCTTAGCAGCTTGAGAATAATCTTAGGATTTGTGGGTTCATAATAATAATATCACCACTTCCACCTTCAATGCTGGTCGATGCGGCGGCCTTCGTTCGTTCGTTCAAGTAATGCCTTGTTTGATAACGATTTCATTTTAGTTTCAATTTATGAATTTTATGTTTGTTTCTTACTTCCGAGTTTATATTTGAATTCTTTGTCAAATTAAAAAAAAAAAAAAAAAAACGTTTTTTTGTTTTGTTTTCAATACTAGAATCGGTTTTCGAAGTCATGGATAGAAAGTGAAATTTTTCGCCTTGTTTTTTTGTGATGGCCGCGTAAATGAGTTGGTATGTAGGGAGGGTGAGGGTCTTCGTTGTTAGTAGTTAAGACAATCAGATAAACCTCGTTCTCGAGCAAGAAACAAAAAATGCAGCAAAATGTCGGGGTCATCAGATAAAAAATTAAAATATAAATTGATCTTTTATTTTCAATTCTTATATATTTTTTTAAAATATGGTTGATTGGATGGCATTTGAAGATTTTTTTAATTACAATTATGCCCTTTTTCTTTTTTTACATTTTTTTTCATTTACTTTATTAATTACAATTACAATTAATTACAATTAAAAAAGAATAAATATATCTTTTTGTCAATTTTGCTTCCCCATTTTGTTAAACTCTTAATTTTTTTATAATTTTTTTTTTAAGATACCTTTAAACTAAAAATAATAATAATAAATAAATAACGTCTTTAAACTGTTTTGAAAAGTTAAAAAATACCCTTCTTGTTTGCATATGGACGAAAACCATACACGTTTCAAAAACACAAATTTTTAATATAATATTAATATCCTTAATTTTTTTTTAAAAAGTAATTTTTAAATGATCTATGAAATGTAGATAGACTATTGTCATTCGTCACAGTCGTACTTTTAATGGCAGCGGACTTGCGATTGTGCGGCACTCATTTTCCAACGACAAGTGAGCTAAGCCAACGGCCAAGCGATGTATGCTCGAGCGTCTGGCCTAGAAGGTTTTAGAGATTTTCGAAAGAGATTGTAATGACCCTAGATTTCCACATATCTAGAGTCGTCATTAACGTCTCATGCTCATCTATAATGCGGAAATATAACTCTTACATGAACAAAAGAGATTGTAATGACCCTGACCCTAAATTTCTACGTATCTAGAGTCGCCAACGTCTCATGCTCATTTATAAAGCGGAAATATAACTTTTACATGAACATCATTTATAATGTAAACTTCGAAAAAGGTTTAAAACAACTTTTTCTCTGGAAGACACAGTATGGTATTACGTGTTTAAATACAAAATACTAAAAATTTAAAGATAATAAAAACAAATACAAAATAATTTAAAACAATAGAATGCAAAACAACCTATTATAACTTAAAACTCAGTAAGTGGTCCCACTATAGGGGCTATGCAAATGCAAACACATGCAATCATGATTTAGGGACCTATCTCTAATCATCTTAGGGGTGGCTTCTAGTCTCGGACAAATTGGATGTGTAGTACTTCCCTACACACGACTCACACGTGCGAGTGTGAATCCCCAGGGCGCTCGCACACCCCCTGGACCCTCTGGTCAAGCTAATCTGTAGCGACGTTTGGAGGTCAGCGGAACCCCATAGTGTCATGCGCCTCATGAACACCCTCATCTATGAGCGTTCGCATCTGTGCGCATTCGCGCTCATCTTCTCTAGAGGAAGTAGTCCTATGCTTATGAACATACAATATGCATGAGGTTTCTCTAAATCCATCATAATGTCTCTTCTGACACAACCATCTAGTCTCATCTCTTTGTTACTCTAGGTAACACATACTCGTAGATATTTATATTAATATCATTTTCACGCTCTTAGGGTTGTGTCCTATGTCGATCTAACGACATGATGCAATATGACACTCATCATCATATAACATGCTCAATATGGAAAACATCATCATATTAAGGTAAATGTCACACAATCATCATACTCATCATATTGCCACAAAGTGCATCAAACATATCAAGTACGACATTCATCACCACGCATCATCATAACTCATGTACTGCATCGTATGACATAGTTCATACATCATAACTCATACAATTTTTAGCCTATCCTGGAGTAAGGCCACTTGGCTGATTAGCTTATATTGGTGTCACCAATTTATCCTTGATGAAAGTTCGATTTTTCCCTTTGTATCCAAGCCAACCTATATGAATCCATGGCATCAATTTCATGTTCAATTCTCTAACTCATACAATGGTTTATGTGCTAAACTTCATGCTAGTATTAAAGACTTTGCATGGATAAGGTCTTGAAACGTTGTAATAGACATCTAAGTATATATACATATTATATATATATTCTATTTATATTAAAATTTCATTTTGTATTTTTATTTCGACTACTTTCTTACTTAATTATATTATTGGTCAATTCGGATCCATTCTTACCCCACTCTTCCCTCTTTTTAGTTCTTTTCTGCTCTCTTTATTCTTTTTTCTCAGTATGCCTTTCATGTATTTTCTTTTGAGTTCTTTCTTACTCTCTTTGTTTATTTATTTATTTTTTTTTTTTTTGCATTTCTTCTTTTCTTTCTCTCCTTTTGATTTTGCTTGTTAATTTAATTTTTTTTAAACATAATCTTTTCTTTCTCTCGGTACTGTATTTACTTCTGATCTTTCATTTTCTACCTCTGTTCTGTATTTTTTTTTTTATGGACAGATATTAGCCAATCTAAATAAATGGGCAGGTAACAAGAGATCTAATGATTAATTAGATAAAGGGAAAGGAAATCTGATTTGGATAAATGAAAAAGAGATCTAAAAGATAACTTAGGATAATAACAAAGCAAGATCTCTCCAATAATTAAATCTTCAGATCTCTTGTGTTGTTGGTATTTTTCTTTTCTTTTTTATGGAGGAACTACAGATGCTCTGATTTGGATTTTTGACTGATGAGTTGGTTGAGGAGAGATAGTTGGGAGAGAAAGAGGGGTTAGTGGAGAGTAGTTAAAAGGAAAATTATTATTTTAATTATTTAATTATTTAATTATTATTATTCTTTTTTTGGTCGTTACAGAGATGTTATATAAGCTACGTATGCCCGAGCCTCTGGCCAGAAGGTTTTAGAAAACGAGGATAAAGGTTACAATATTTTAATTAATTCGAGGAAAATAAAATTATTATGGAAAGGCTGACGTCACTCTAGACAGAAAGAAAGGGAGAAGTTGTTATCGTCCATAAATGCTTTGAGGAAAAGTTAGGCAAAGGCCCTAAATTGGAGGGTGCCCCAACTACAAGTTCGGCATCTTTAATTTCTTTTTCTTTTTTTTTTTTTATTTGAGAAAATGACGTCATATGACGGTACCTGCTATTCACTTCGTAAGAATGAAAACTATCCCTACAAACTAATACGATTCCTTCCAACATCCTCTGTTCTCTCACGTACATCCCGAAAAACTTCCTAACAAATCACTCAACATAAAATTCTTTCAAGTAAAGCACGTTTAACCATAAATTTCATTTCATTTTAAGCCTTTCTTAGTCATCATATTCTCAAAATCGCTCTCATTCAGATGTGGTCTCGGTTCATTCCTCATGTATATATACTCAATCAAAATGTTAAATATTCAAATTTCTCTATCTAATATCTCGAACTCAAAATGGAAACAAAGATCTTGGAAGAGTTAATTATATTAAAAGTATATAGACATAGGTCGATAGTTGCACGAGAATTAATTTTCTTTATCACATTATTATATTTACACATATGAATTATGTCCAATTTTTTTTTAATTATTTTTGTCACATGTTAAGTTTTTCCTTTTAAAATATTTCTTTTATTGAAAGAACATTAATTTTAAATTGTAAATTATTAATATCATGAATTCCATATCTATAACCTAAAATTTATCTCCATCAACATTTATTAGCTTAGGGTTTTTTCTTTTAAATAATAAATAACTAAATAAATTTTATATATTAAAAAATAAAAGCCACACCCTTAATTAAGTAATTCCTTCTTTATGAATTGATAGACACTTGCAACTCCCTAGTTGTAATTTTTTTTTTTAATTTTATTTTAATAATTATATAACTAATATTTATTTATTTATATATTTTAAAATTTTCGCTCATTTTATATAAATTAATGCGCTGCTCTTATCAACTAGATATGTCAACGGGACGTGGAAAGCTAAGAGAATTTTTCATTCCTGTCTACCGACTTAATTTCTAAAAATTCAAATTTCAATATTACAATATAATTATCGATAAATTATTTACTCTAATCGTAATTTAGATAAATTCGGTCTTATTATTGTTCTCCATTTAAATGGAGATTACTCGCCAACTTCGGGGCGGGTCCCTGAATAGACGTTTGTATAGAATAAAGTTTTTGTTTATACTAAAAAAGGAAGATTAAAAAGGATAATATAAAAGGACATGAAATTAAAATTTTAAAGTGCGATGATAATTAGGTCTTCTTCTCCAACTACATCGGGTGGTATTAATGGCTATGGATTCATCAGCCTGGTTTATAGGGTCGTCGTCCCCGTCCTCGTCTTATACAAAATCCTCGAATGAACTCGTTCAACTGTAATTTATGCCTCCCCATTAATGTCCTTCTCTCTCCTCTCTTTCTCTCTCTAGACTCGCCATTATAAATAGCTTTTTCATCATCCCCACCCAATCACTCCCAAAAATGGCTTTTCTCCTTCTCTTTTTCCTTTGATTTTGAAATGGATGCGGCGGCGCTGGTGGCGGCGTTGGGCGGCGCGGTGGTGGCGTACTTTATTTGGTTCTTGAATATCCGACGGTCCTTGAGTGGGCCACGTGTTTGGCCGCTATTGGGCAGTCTTCCTGGGCTGATTAAGAATGGTCATCGAATGCATGACTGGATTGCAGAGAATCTCCGGTCGACTGGCGGCACGTACCAGACTTGCACGTGTGCCATTCCGTTTTTAGCTAAGAAGCAAGGTCTCGTGACGGTCACGTGCGACTCGAAGAATCTTAAGCATATTTTAAAAACCCGGTTCGAGAATTACCCGAAAGGGCCGAATTGGCAGGCTGTGTTTCATGATTTGCTTGGTGATGGAATCTTCAATTCAGATGGCGACACATGGTTGTTCCAGCGTAAAACTGCTGCACTGGAATTTACCACTAGGACTCTTCGCCAAGCCATGGCTCGTTGGGTTAGCCGAGCTATTAAGAATCGGTTTTGTCCGATTCTTGAGTCGGCTCAATGTCGTGCTAAGCCGGTTGATCTACAGGACATTTTGCTTCGGCTTACATTCGATAATATTTGTGGGTTGACTTTTGGTAAGGATCCACAGACTCTTGCGCTTGAATTGCCTGAAAACAGCTTTGCGCTAGCTTTCGATCGAGCCACTGAAGCCTCATTGTGTCGCTTTATTTTGCCTGGCTTTATCTGGAAGCTAAAAAAATGGCTCCGGCTCGGGATGGAGGTCACCTTAACCCAAAGCCTCGAGGACACGAATCAATACCTGAAAAATATCATCAAGACACGTAAGCTCGAGCTGTCCAGTCAGCACCATGTGGACAATAGTGGGACACCTCACGACGACTTGCTGTCAAGGTTTATGAAAAAGAAGGAATCCTACTCAGACGAATTCCTCCAACACGTGGTGCTTAACTTCATCCTAGCTGGACGAGACACGTCATCGGTCGCACTGAGCTGGTTCTTTTGGTTGGTCAGTCAAAACCCAAGAGTGGAGGAAAAAATCCTCATCGAAATATGCACCGTTCTGATGGAGACACGTGGCGAAGATATATCCACGTGGGTTGAAGAGCCGTTGGGATTTGAAGAAGTGGATAAATTGATTTACCTGAAAGCTGCCTTGTCGGAAACTCTTCGACTTTACCCATCGGTGCCGGAAGATTCAAAACATGTGATAAACGACGACGTTTTACCCACCGGAACTTTCGTCCCCGCCGGCTCCTCTGTTACGTATTCAATATACTCAATTGGTCGGATGAAATTCATATGGGGGGAAGATTGTTTAGAATTCAAACCAGAGAGATGGCTGTTGGGTTCAGATAAGGACAAAATTGAGCTTCAAAATACTTATAAATTCATTGCTTTTAATGCCGGACCAAGAATATGCTTGGGGAAAGATTTGGCTTACTTGCAAATGAAGTCGATTGCGGCCGCGGTGTTGCTCCGACACCGCCTGACGGTGGTTGCCGGCCACCGTGTGGAGCAGAAGATGTCGCTGACATTGTTCATGAAGTATGGACTTAAAGTTCAGTTGCAACCCAGAGATTTGGGGCATGTGGCGGAGAAGATTAGACAGACAACGGCGGAGACGGTGGCGACCGCGGAAAATATGGCTGTCTTGTGAGAGTATTGTTGTTGATTTTGAAGTACTTGGAAGTTGCACAAAGCTCAAGCAACTTATTCACAAAAGTGTAATTTATTTTTGAAATGTTATTAATAATTTAAATGAAAAATATTCCAAATTTATTTTCACCCGAGTTTAATATGACAATAGTTCGATGTCTTATACTTGGTAGTGTTTCTTTTGGTTCAACAAATAAGAGTATAGAGATTTTAAACTCGAACCTCGCAAAGGGCAATCAAAATTTTAGCTTTCGGGAGTGTAGTAGGGATGTGAACCTTCAACCTCAGGTAATAAGAATTTTAACTTCCAACCTCGGGAGGTGTAGTAGAGCTATGAACCTCTAACCTCACAAGACAAGGGGATTTGAACCTTCGGACTTCATTGGATATGAGTATATGAACCTCACAAGACAAGGGGATTTGAACGTTCGACCTCATTCGATACGAGTATATGAATCTCACAAGATAAAGGGATTTGAACCTTTGACCTCACTAGATGTGAGTATATGAGCCTAATAATAAGACAAGGGGATTTGAACCTTATACCCCTTATATGAACCTCCCATCTCACATGACCTTACCACAGAAGTAGTAAAGTAACTTCGACCCTAAGGGGGGTATAATAGGAATTTTAACCTCCACCCTCAAGGTAATAGGGATACAAACCTCCGACTTAGAAGGATTGGAACCTTTAAACTCTCAATATATGAAGATTTAAACCTTCCGTGCACAGAGATAATAGAGATTTGAATATCTGACCTCTAAGATGTAGTAGGGATTCGAGCCTCCAACCCCAAACAGGGTCAGAAGGAATTTTTAACCTCCGACCTACCTCAAAGGAGATAGTAGGGTAGAACCTCCAACTTCACAAGACGAGAGAATTTGAATCTCTAACTTCACACATTCAACATGAGAATTAGAACCTCCGATGAATTTGAATCTCTAACTTCACACATTCGTAATGAGAATTAGCACCTCTGATTCCAAAAAAGATAGTAGAGATTTGAATCGTTGACCTTAAAAAACAAGGAAGAAAAAAAAAAAAAAGACATTCCAATGAAAGTTCTAGAGATAGTTCATGCACAAAAGAATAAAAGTCCAATAAAAACATGAAAATTACAACACAAAAATAATTTACACACAAACCCATCTTAGTTCTGAACCTGAAGGGCACCAAATTAACAAATTAAGATTACAAAAACACATAATAAAAAGATGATACTCCAAAGATAATGAATCAAGGTGTTCTCTTCAAGCTCTGGCCTTGAATGGAATAGCTCTGATGATGATCTGGTGGTAAATCGCAGCCAGAGCAGCTCCAATGAACGGCCCCACCCAGAAAATCCACTGCAACACAATAGAAGTTACCTCAATTAGTGAGGAGCAAGAATGGGTACCAAATTCAACGCTAAAATGGTAATTTATAGCGCTACACTCACGTGGTCATCCCATGCGTGTTCCCTGTTGTAGATAATGGCAGCTCCGAGACTTCTCGCCGGGTTAATGCCGGTGCCGGTGATCGGAATGGTGGCCAAATGAACCAAGAACACAGCAAACCCAATTGGAAGAGGAGCCAAAATCTACGCATAACATTCAACCAAATCGTAAGTTTACATGCAAAAACAGGGGATTAGAACAGAGCAGGAATTTCTCTTACAGGGACGTGAGAATCTCTGGCGTTTCTCTTGGCGTCGGTGGCGGAGAAGACGGTGTAGACCAGAACGAAGGTGCCGATGATCTCGGCGCCGAGGCCGCTGCCTTTGGTGTAGCCAGCGGCGACGAAGTTAGCGCCGCCAAGCTTTTGCTCGTAGATGGACTTCTCAAAACCCTTCACGACGCCGGCGCCGCAGATTGCGCCTAGGCATTGCATTATGATGTAGAATATGGCTCTGGTGAGCGACAGCTTTCTCGCCAAGAAAAGCCCGAATGTCACCGCCGGATTAATATGCCCACCTGAGAAAAAACAGAGCAAAACAGAGAAAACCAGAAAGTTGAATCAAAACCAGATTTCTTAACAGATCTAAGAGCAGAGTAAAGGAAGAACAAAAGGGGTTTGAGGGTTACCGGAGATGCCGGCGGTACAGTAGACGAGAGCGAAGATCATGCCACCGAAGGCCCACGCGATGCCCTGAATGCCGACGGTGGAGCATTTGGACGGAGCTCGGCTGACTCCCATCACCGTCAAGATGGTAATGTACAGGAACAAGAAAGTGGCCACGAACTCCGCGATTCCGGCTCTGTAAAAGGACCATGACGTGAGCTCGCCGGGCTCGTACAGCGGAGCAGGCGGCGGCTCTTTGTAGTCCTTGTCCGTCTGTGCTGATGTGCCGATTGGCTGTCTTTCGGAGTACTTGTTAGCTCCTAACTTCACGTCCTCTTCCTTGCCCTCCATTTCCTTCTTCTTTGCCGAGTTTGGTTTCGAACTGAGCTGCGTGACTATGGCGGGTTTCTCTCTCTAAAATTGGGTCTCTCTCTCCTCAAAATGGATTTCTGTTGCTTTTGGGGAAGAAGATAGAAGTAGCGAGCAGGCAGGGTTGTTTTATAGGACTTATGGGTTACCTTCCCCAAAACGACGTCGTTCTTTTTATTTATTTATTTATAAAACATTTGGGTTAAATTAATATTGTTAAAATAACTTTTAAATTATGTAAAAACCCTATCCCCAAAACGACGTCGTTCTTACATTTGGCTTAAATTAATATTGTTAAAATTAACTTTTAAATTATGTAAAAATCCTAAGATAAAATATCCAAAATTTGAGACTTCAAGTTTATTGATATGTCGATAAAATATAATAATAATAATAATAAATAAATTTTAAGAATTATAATTACGAATTAAATTATAATTATTATTATTGAAATTAACGAATTAATTCTTAATATTTACATCCAGTGATTTATGAATACATTGTTGATGGACTTGATAATTCAATTTCTAGTGTCAATAAACCTTAAACTCCGGAAATAAATATTTATTTTAATTTTAAAAAATGGGATAATTTGACTCATGGTTTAAAAAAATTAAATAATATTTTTTAAAATATATGAATTAAGAAAAATGTTAAATTGAACCATATTTATTTTAAATTTTTTGAATGAAAATTTGGATGGCTATCCGTTCACAATAATCGTACATATTGTTTCACATCTTAATTTCTATTTAAAAGTTAAAAAAGATTTTTATTTTTAAAAAAATGTAAAAAAAAATTAATTAATTAATTAAAACAAATGAGGTGTCATATTCATTTGGATTAAAATATAAGAATCATGATGATTGCTTTTCTTTTTTGGAGGGACATGATGAAATTTTAAGTGATTAAAAGAGATATAATTATAGAAATTAGAAGGGTTAATTAAAGCTTTAATTTGATGATTATTATATTAACGTAAATAAGCATAGAAATTAGGGAAAGAGGGCATTGTCGTAATTTAGGGGATCTTTCTGGATAAAGACGATGGGTTTGACAGGTCATGGGGTGGGTCTGTCCTTGCTGTCCTTATCCTCAATAGTAACACTTTCCAGAGTGTCATCTTTTTCTTTTTAATCATATTTTGTCTCTCTCATTTTTTATTTTTCTTTTAAATTTTAGCACTTTTAAATTTAAATTTTATATTTTTAGGCGAACACGACTCACCACAATGGTATGATATTGTCCATTTTGAGCCTCAGCTCTCGTGACTTTGCTTTAGGGGCTTCCCAAAATAGCTCACAGAGAGTATTATTTATTTTATAAACCCATGATCATTCCCTATGGGACGTGGGACTTTCATCATCCAACCTATATATCAAACTCTAAAATTTTAATTTAAATACAATATAAAAATCAAGAGATAAGTTTAAAATTGAAAATTTAAAAATCGTTTTTTTTTAATATATAAGTTTAATTTCTAAAAATAAAAAATTTAGAAAAATACTCGAATACTTATCTAACAAAGCTTTAATTAATGAATTTTAAATAATTGGTCGATAATTTTAATTTTGTTAAAAAAATTAAAAAATAACAAATAATTTAACCTAACATTAACTCAATTAACATAATTTATTTACTTTGGACTAAGAGTATTAAATATTAATTTATTTGGTAAAAAAAATGAAAATTACTAATTTTATTATTTAGAAAATGTAATATAAATGATTTATTAATAATAAGAATAAAATAAATTGGTGAAGGTTGGTGGATTTGGATTATTTAAAAGAAAAAAAGAAAAAAAAAAGTGGGGGAGGGCAAATAGGTAATTTAACAAAAAGGGCGAAGTTATTGATGGTGGATTCCAGCTTTTAGCTCCCTCCGTAGAGCAACCGGATTTAACCTTTTATTAACGGTACGAAAATCAGAGCCACAGAAGAGAAGCAAAGAGGAAACAAACAAAACCGAATCGAGTGGCTGAGATCAACTGACCGTTTTCTGACCGTTACGAGGCCCACGTGTGGTTCCCACACCTCTTGGGCCGCGAGAGTAATAATGAAACTCTTTGAGGGGCATTTAGCAATATAAAAAGACGTGGGAGGGGGGAATTCGAATTTACCCAAAACTTAGGGGATGAGATAAAGTTATAGTAAAGCTGCACTTGCCTTTTCAAATTCAACAACAAACGTGAGAGTTTGATTTGATAGAAACCTTGATGTGTCAATTTTAATAGTTCGGGATGAATTAGGACTGTGTCATTGTGAGATCTCACGACAGTTGGAGAAGGGGATAAAATATTCTTTATAAGAATGTGATTACCGACACGTTTTAAAACCGTGAGGCTAACTACAATACGTAACAAGCCAAAGCAGACAATATTAACTAGTAATAGGCTTGGACTGTTACAACTATGTGACTTAATCACTGAGAAACTCGTGTTTGAGATTGAAGTGAAGCCTTGAACAACATTGGAGTTATATGTTGATCAAGCATGAGCTCAACCTATCTACCAACTTGAGTACACGATGCTACTTGCACATAATTTGTTAATTAGTGAGATAACTCATTTCCTGAGCTATGCAATCCTAATCAACTCAGCTCAACGCCAATTTGAACTAAGACCTAACTCAAGCTCCGAGTGTACGTGGCCCAATACCACTAAGAACTAAATTAAGCTTCTAGAGTCGAAAATATATATCTTAAAAAATTTTGAGAAGGAAACAACCCCAACCCATGTGCCCTAATCAACACGAGTTACCCACAAAAAGGGGTCATTGGGACCACCAATCTCACCCCAAATATTTCAAATGTTTCGACTTTCATTTTTGAGAATGGCCCAGGTGGGCTCAATCCTCATTTTTCTATTACACGTACTTATATGTTAAGACCTGACCAAATTGTTCCGGTGGTAAAGATTTTTCAACTCAAAATAAGTAATGAATCTAATTCAACTTAACAATAAAAAAAATAAAAAAATAATAATAATAATAAATAAATAAACTTTTAGTCGAGCGTGAGGGTCAGGTCGGGTCGGGTCATAAACTTACCTATTAACATTTCCGAGCTGACCCATAGGACGAGGGTGAGGTGAGAGTGGTTGACAGCTCATACCCATTGGATGCCTCACTGCCATATGGGATTGTGCGAACATCCTTCACATGGAGCCTTTAGGACTCCAAAACCCCATCCCAACCAACCCACCCTTTCCATCACATTCATAGCCATTCATCTACTCTACATTGTAGGTTGATGATTGGACAATATATAAATTACATTTTTCCTTTTGTATATGCTTTATCTTTTGGTATAAATTTGTAGATTTATTCCAAATTTATTTTAGTTAATAGGTTAATTTTAAGGGCTCAGCTTTGTTTTCAAGTTATAACTTACTAGTATTGAGTTAGTCACGGTCATATTTGTCTAAGAAGTGTTGTCTATAATCTTTCTTGCCCATATGTTTTTTTTTTTGTGTGTGAGATTCCAGATCGATTGAAGAGAGAAACAAGGGTTAGTGAGGATGCTGGACCCTAGAGGGAGAGGGAAATAACATTGATTTGAAGAGGAGAACAAGTGGTAGGGAAGACGCTGAACCCTGAAAGGAGGTGGATTGTGAGATCCCACATCAGTTCGAGAAGGGAATGAGACATTCTTCATAAAGGTGGAGAAACCTCTCCCTAACAAAAGCGTTTTAAAAACTTTGAAGGAAGCATGGAAGGGAAAGGCCAAAGAGGACAATATCTGCTTGCGTAGACTTGGGTTAATACAATTTTCAATACAATTAACATCTACCATACTTTCTCTTAAAATTGTCTGTGAAGTCCAAGTTTTACACAGCTAACTTGTTCGTAGGGTTTAGAACAAATACCGCACAATTGCAATCCTGTAGCCAAAAGAGTGCGATTGTGACAACCGACAAGTACGACATTCGTCATTGATGTGTTGAAGGGTACGAGAGAGAAAAATATTAACCGTTCGTTATTCACGTCGACCTCGACCTCGACATGGATAATGGTTAGCAAACATCACAAAGAGAAAAACATGCACACATACATGATATATACAATTTGAATCATCCAATTAAAGAATACATCAAAAGTTCATAGCCAAGTTAGCATCATACCAAGTTATAAAAAGCTCATAATCTTCATTGTTTACAACATTACGTTCTTATCAGTAACTATAAAACATCACAAAGACAGGCAGGCTTGATCACATTCCTAATATATAGAACAAGATTATATATGCTATGAACACTACAATATGATATACATGTAATGAAGAGTCTATAACTTTTCTTCATATTAATCCTCATTGATGAGCAGATGGGCATGAGGGCAGGCCCTCTCTGGTTCTCCTTTTGTCCACAGAATCCCCAAATCTCCTCTCTTCTTCCCCAGTGTCAAAAGGGTTCCTAGATTGAGACGTGAACTATCCGGTCACGTGGGGTAATCGATATTCAAGATACGAACATGTTTTGATATGTGTTAATCATGGGGATAGTTTTTTTGTGTTTGACTAACTCGAGTTTGTTTGTTTCTAGTTCTTAACACGGTTGCCAATGGTGTTGGCTGTAAGGTAACTTACCGAGCGTAAACGGGACGATGTAAAGCAGTGCAGGCTGGCCATGACCGTCCATCAGGTTCAAAGCAACATAGGTGATCAGAAGACCTGACAAACATTTCAATAAAACTTTCAAGATATGGACCAAACATCAGAAACTAGCCTTTTTATAAACACTATTTAGAGAACACTTTTTAAGCATATACCTGACCCATATGCAAGCATTGCTGGTAAGAAGTAACCGAGCCGGAGGCTCTTATTTGCCAACCAGTCATACCTGTAAGGATATCCGAAGCATTCATTATGTAGTGGCTTTAATAGATGGAGATGGACTGACAAGCTTTGAACAGATGGTTCCTCACAAACAGTTTCGAAAGAAAACATATCTTTGTAACTACCCAAGCTGCTAGGGAGAGGTTTCTACACCCTTATAAGAAATGTTTTGATTAGGAGAAGGGAACAAAACATTTCTTATAAGGGTGTGGAAACCTGTCTTTAGTAAACGCGTTTTAAAACCTTGAGGTGAAGCCTGAAAGGGAAAGCCCAAAGAGAA